CCACTTCCCTGGCTGGTATTGAAGGTAAACTGTTACGACCAATTTGCTAATGCTTGAAAGTGTGAGACACTTCTGCAATTGAAATGTTTTCAATAGGCGTAATTGCAGAATGCATTTGGTTGGCAGAATGCTTTGGAGATAAGAATTTGCATGACTCAAATGGACATGTGGTTTCACTTTTTAATTTTAACACAAGTCCAGGCGTTTAGTAACTGCATTTAAAACTTCTTGTCAGCCACTGAGACTTCCTGAAGACAGAGGGCATCCTCTTCAAGAATTTCTACTGGGTGAGTGCTGTAGTGCATAAGCATCTATAAGCAGTGGTCCTAGAGGAGATTCACTCTTTCTACAACTTCAAAAATTATTAAAACAGTAGCTGATCATTGAAACAGCTGGATGTATTGCAGTTACAGAGGGTAGGTGTATTCAGTTTGGCGATTATGACAAGGTTTACATTTAGCTTTCCACGCCTGCTGTACACAGATAGCTGGGCAAGTTTGAATCTCTGAACTTTTTGTGCTTTTTAATTAGAAGCTATCGCATTTTCCTTAAAAATAACCTAAAGGCTTTTTAAAACTAAATTTCTTCCTGTTCTGTCCCACTCATTTGGGCATGGAAATAGGAGATTGAACTCTGCACCTTGCCTTAATTATAATCAACCTTTTCATCAGTACAGCAGTATTTCAGCCACGGGTCTGACTGTAAGGTCAGATGACAATTTATGTTTGTTTGTGCTGAAGATCAAACCTGATTTTTAATGCACAGAATTACAGACTGAGTAATTTGAATTTTCTTTCTTTGCAATATGAGATTCTGTCCTCTCATTTCCCACAACTTGTGGGGATATCAAAGATGTTCCGTCATTGGTCATCTGGGATGCAGAAAAAGAACAAGATTTCTCTCCAGCAAAGGAATTGACAGGTAAAGCAGTCATACTGTTGTAAGACTAACACAAAGGAATCCCTTGTAGCTCTTGAATTGCAAAATTTTAATTGTATATGCAGATTTCAGCTTGTCACAAGAGGGCAGTAAATGAACATTAATTCTGGAGGATGATTTTTAAAGAAAACGTTTTTAAGAAATTTTTTAAAGAAAGTGAAACTTAATTATAAGTGAGATGTTTGAATACTGACTTAAATAGTTTCCCCAATTTTAAAATGCCATGTTTTATTTGTAGGGCATCTATAAACTGTAATCTGTATTTATTCTATGAGAACCTCAATCCACGAGTCTGCTCTTTTTTTTTTTTTTTTAATGTCTTGGACAAATAAAAGACATTACTGGTATGTGTTGCTTCTTTTACTTAATACAAGAGTTACTATTAATGGTGTGCCACCATTAGCTGAGATGTCTTATGTTATGACAGGCCAGCATTCATGCTGAAGAGAAATTGGTAAGAGCATTTTCATATGTTGAGGCTAGTAACCTTTTTATACCATCTCCCTTCTGGCTGATTAGGAGATCTCATCAGGGTTGGGTTTTGTGTTTGTTAAATGTTTTCTACAGATAAAGAACCCAAGTCCAAGAACACTGGGTCTTTGTGTAGTCATCAGCTCTTTCACTGAAATTTGATGACTGAAAAGTTACAGATCTGAAAAAACATTGTTTCCTAAAGCACCAGCAGATGGGCCCTGGCCTGTTTTTTGACGGTCACAACTGCAATGCAGTTTGGTTCTTTCAGGTAGTCATGTTTATTCCTCCATCCCCCATGCCCAGGAGTCATGGATACTGAACTGTCATCAGATTACTGCAGAAGACATTTATCATAGGATTAAAGGGGAAAGTTCATATTCTTTTGATGCCAGTCCCAGGGAGGAGTCACTCTGAAGACCCACAAAAGGGCCATCCCCTTTCACATGCATCAGTTAAGTTTCTCACAGTTGTCGTCTTCCATACCATGCAGAAGCCAGCCTTTCCCATTGCAGAGCATCAGATCTGAAGTACTGTAGTTCAAAACACATTTGAAATAGAAGTGCCCTGCTAAATGAACATGTTTAATTTACATGTTGCAGGTGAACCAAAGGAAGCCGGAACTGAGCAAGATGAGGAATTTAGTCTGTGGATGTGTCGGGTGCAAATCTTTTTTACAACTAGGTTCTTTCCTGCCTACCAGCATGAAAAAGTGCTGAGGGAAAAAATAAAAGAAAATCGAATACAGGATGCTGAATTAGCTGAGCAGAGAAAGATCAAGGATGAGGAACTGGCAAAGTGAGTGTTGCATCTTATCGCGGAGTACTTTTATCTCCTCTTCTACCTGCAAAATTAATGAAAATGAGGTGTGCTTTAATAAAGTAATATAGAAACTGTAACTAGGAGAACAAACTCATCCAGGTATAATCAGCAACATACAGAGTGTAACTCATGTGATATCTGTTACCATGGGGAGTAACAAATACAGGCTGCTTTCAGGTTATAGCACTCTTAACACTGCTATTTCTTGGCACTTGAGCCCTGCCCTGTGTAAAGCCTGTTAAGACATCTATTTTTTTTTAGCAAGTCAGACTTCAAATGGTAACTAGACAGATTTTCTGCTTCTCTACAATGTGAGTTTATACTGCTCATACTGTGAATATAGCTGTAGCTGCTTAGCCAGCATAAATCTGTCTCCCCCCCCCTCGCAGCACATTAAATTTAAACTTTCTTCATTCAGACTTATTGCTGGAAGAGAAGCAGAAGAGGCAAAAAAGCAAGAAACAGCTCCAGCAGACAAGAGTGCAGATTTTAAGGAGTTAGAGGAGCCTGTCACACAGTTAGCACCCCCTCTGAAGGAAGAGCCACTCACTGTCACCCCCCAAGCTGTTACCAAGGTACCTGCTGGCAAAAAGAGAAAGAAGAAATAAATCTCCTGATGAGAACTACTGAAGGTTCAAGTACGTAAGTACTCTTCAAATAAGGAAGGAAAAAAACCAACAGAAGAACCACACGTGCTGTAAGGTTTAAAATACAATAAAACTGTATGCACAAGACTTGCTGGTTTCAGAGGGAATCTGTCTGCTGTTGCACCAAGGGTCTTGAGAAAGAGCTTATAGTCACATACTGGAGCGTAACCCTTTAAACAAAACTACTCCAGCAGCCAAGATTTGACTTGTACCTAAAAACTCCCCTCAGTGTCAAGTTGATACAAGAACTGGTATCTTGTCATAATCATATGTCCCAATGAAATGGTTTCTGCTTAAAACAGGGTTTATTTGACTGAAATACTGCATGCAAACAAGTATGCAGCTCCTGCTTCAGCCTAATTTACAAAGAACAGGCCAACCTTGAAAGTTTGTTGTTCAGGTTTTTTTTTTTTTTTTTTTATAACCAGTCTAGTTTCACATTGTGTAACTTTTTGCAGTTTTTCTACAATGATGCAAATGAACACAGGAAAACAAAAAGATGCACTTAAAAGTGTAACAATTTTTAGTTTTATTTTCCAGTAAAATATTCACATAACAATATCAGAATGGAATGGTACAGATGAATTCAGACTGGTTTTTAATTAGTTTGCACATAAACATTTTTAAAATCTAAAAATTTTATGATCAGAGTTTACAGATTTTAGTAGAAATTCTGATTCTTACAAAGCAAGTATTGCTTTACTATTGTCATTATTCCAGTCAATAATATGACTAATAACTTCTCATGTTGAACAAGTGTCTGACATTGACATCTTCAATAAATCGGCCCTTTGCAGATCAATCCAAGAAGAAAATATTATTAAACTGTGTTGCACAAAGTTTCTTCACTTCTTCTGTAAAAAAATAAAAAGATATTTCAGTATGGTATTTTACAGGAACCACTGCAAGATAAACTCTGGGGCTCTAGAAAGTCAAACAGGAAAAAACCCTAGGAGTTTCTAATGTAGAAATACACTTAATTTTATTCTGTCTTCAGTAAGGGAAAGTTGAGTCAAGTCTGATGTTTCACACTGTCTGAAAGATGAGTTGTATTTTAAGTGGCTAAAGTGTAAATGAGGGCTTGAGTTTGCTGCTGGGCCATTCATCTCGTCAAGCTTTTACATTGCAACAGCGGAAGATTTAGCTTCAACACAAGGAAGTATAGTAACCCCTTTTCAGGGGAAGGAAGGATTAGTGTAGTCTGTTACAATAAATGAAGTCAGCAAAACTTTTGCTTTTTGCTATTTGGCAGACAACACTTCAGGGGTAGCAGCACTTCCTAAGTTTATCAGGCACAGAAACACTCATTTACTCTTTCTGTATGGCAGGTTTGATCCTGAAAGCCAATTAGAAATTGCTGCACTAAGTCATGCCACTCATTCTTGTCTTAAAAATTCAGGTTGCTAGACTTTGGTCTTGGAGAAGTATCAATTCTTTCCCATCATCCAAGTGAGCACATTGCCTCATATTAAAACAGAGAGCCCTAAAATTGCTGCAAGTAAGACTCAAACTGCCATTTCTCTTAGTCTATTTGAAAGCTTACTGCATCTTAATTTGTGCTCTTAGCCGTAGTAAATCAGTCTCAAAACAGCATTAGAAAACAAGATAACCATGGCATGAGCGTCACTGACAGGATAGGCATTATGTATAAGTAACCTCCCCACGGATCACTGACAAATAAAACTTAACTCGGATGTAAATATTTTCATATCTCACCTGCAATACAATTCATTAATTACTCCTAAAGCAAGCTCCCAGAGCTCTCTACTATTTGAAGGAGGAAGAATGACCGATTAATAATTAATAATGTCTGCTGAATATTTATGCTGTTCTTTCACAGCTGGTAGAAGGCAGACTAAAGCCTTATGCAAACTTACCTGGTCTATCATAGATCAATCCCTCTTATATTTCTTGTGAGATGGATTTTATTACTTCTCCAGGGACACACATTTTAGTAGTAACTGTATTTAAAGGTAGTGAAAAACAATCCTTACCATTAACTTCAATCAGATTTGCATTTTTTTGATTCAAAATAACATACAGTTCTCGCTGGTCAGACTTTTTCCCAACTACCCAGTAATCACTCATTGCCTTCACAATAATTTCCTCATCTTCATCAACTCTGAAAGAAGTTTTAGAAAGTAAAGTGGTAGTAGCAAGTTCATCTTCAACAACTTTAAGCTGTCCTAATGATTACAAATAACATCATAAATGGTTGTGGTTCTGCAGTATCAAAGAGAGACTACAAATACTAACTTAGACATAATTCAGCAGTCCAGGATGAAGGCTTAATAGATGACTGCTTAGGACAATTACATCCTCAGATGAGTAAATCATTAAAACACCTCTATCCTCCACACTGTTAAGGACACACTTCACAGAATTATGATTTGCTAGACAGTGACCAAATAATGAACGCTGGAGATGGTATGGTGATACTAAGCTTTCACATACCTAATTGTTAAACCTAGAATTAAACAAAGCTCAACAGCTAGACTTATTACATAAAGTTGTCACTAAGCCAGTACTTCCACGGTATGATGAAACATTCTTTTTTCATCTACAGAAAAATGAAAACCTTGTCCTTAAGCATAGTGGGAAAATTGCTAGTCGCTAATTAGAATTCCAGACATCACAATTATTGAGCATTTTCATGTTCTTTATTAATTTTTATAGTGACAGAGGGTTTCTCCCACCTTGAAGCACCACAAACATGGACAAGATACCAGTTATTTTCTTTATCAGCAGTATTGTAGTGACTGCACAGTTTGCATTTCATCTATTGTTTAATCCCTAAAAGCAGCCAGCTGTTTCAGAGGGTATAATACAGGCAGAAGCAGGTTTCCCTGTCCTTTATACTACTTATCCAGAGATTAGACAGCCTTAACTGCAAAAGCACTAGGCTTCACATCCCTTCCAAGTTTGTTATGGCTACTCTGAAGCTTCACATAGATTAGATATTTTCTTGGATAGAGCTCCTGGCCCTTCTTTAAATTCTTTTTTTTTAAAAAGACAACAGAAGTTTTGTTTAAGACAGACTACTTCTAAACCAACACAAAATACCAAATATGACCCATGTTACACCACTTACCTCACAAAGCTATGAATAACCATCCATGAACAAAAAGATAGGAAAGCTTCACTCATTTGGTAAAAACCTACTTGATAGAAGGAGTTACAGACTATTTAATAGTTAAGCATTACCTGGAGAAGTCACTGTTGATGTCACCGAGAATCTTCATGAGGTCAGGGTGAACAGATGCAAGCGATACACTGGGTGTTTTCCTCATGTGAATGGTACTTTTCTCTGCCAGGTTCATGTGATTGAAATAGATAAACTTAAACTGAGGCTCCTTCTCAGCCCTAAGAAGATTTAAAGAAAAAAAAAAAGCGACTTGTGAATACTGACACGTTCTATAAGCACAGGCTTCACAGAGAACAAGTAACTAGCCAGTGCAAAGCTTACTCAGACATCCTGAAGTTATCTTCCCATTGAAGAGAACAGGTACATTAAGACTTGTGGCATGATCAAACTTAATTTTAACACTTTTTAAAAAAAAATAAAAAGTAAAAAAAAATAAAAGCAAGCCTGCAAAAACAACCAGTTTTTCCCCTTCCCCTTCTGCTGCTTAGGCTGTTGATAAATAGGGGAGTCTAAAGACCTTGTCCCACTTCCTAGTAGCAGTTTGCATTTCTCTAATGAGCTGGGTTTTTTGTGTCCCCATTTGTTTCCTTGCTCCCCTATGCCAGTCCAACCTGGTTTGAATGGATGCTAGGTCTTTACTTTGATTACTAAGTAATCTTCCACTCACGTCTTTGTTATTTGTTACAATCAAAAGAACTCTTCCCCCCCCATCATTTGTGTGGGCCAATCAAGAGACTGTTTTCAAACTCCTGCCTTGGTAGTCTTCCTCCATTTCCTTTGTTAAGTTAATATAAAATCTGTCACTTAGAGCTGTAGTTTCAGTAGAAGTCACAACAAATTCAGACTGGCAAAAACCGGCTATAGCAATTGGTACTTGAGGCTATGTATTATTTAGAATCAGGGAGATACTGTAATGACACCACTCACCTCAGCAAACAACTAGATACCCTTGCTCTCTGTCACCCAGATGCATTAGTGTCAAGAAACTGTATTATGTTTTCAGGACACCACGGCATTAAACTTTAAGAGAGTTAAAGCTGCCAAAGCCAGTCCCAGATGACATTAAAAAACCCCAACTTTAATGATTTAGTAGATTGGCACAATTTCAAGCGCATCCTATTCTATACCCTGCGATTTTGCTGATTTGGCATGCTACCACTAAGTAAGTTCAGTCACACACCTATCTTTGGTTTAATGGTTTAATTCCTCTTTTGTTGTCATATGCATGTTCTTGCTTCCCCAACTAACAAAACTATCTAAAAATAAATACAACTTTATGGAAAGCCAGCTGTAGTTTTAGGTGAAGTATTTTCCAAAACAGTAACATCCTTTTTCATTTAACATTTTTTTTTTTTTGCCCCTCAAGTAGTTACCTTAATCCTGCAAAATAGAAAAAAATAAGACAGTTTTTTCCTCACCTACTATACACAGCAACGCTTCAAGAAGCAGTAATTCTGGAAAAAAGTACTCAACTGTAAAGCTTGCATTGTAACCAAATAATCCACTTACTAAAATCCCCATTTCAAATTGTTAAACAAAAGTTGTTCTAGTTGTTCTAATATCTATTTTCCTTTGGATTTGTAACAGAGTTAAGAGTTACACATGCTCCGTCCCAGCTGTAAGTACTTGTGTCTAAGGCATTACTCAGATAGAGCTTGATGTGAAAAATACAGGGTTTTAACATTATATAAAATAGCAGAAAGTCAAAGCAGAAGTCAAAGGAAGTCAGCACAAAGAATGATACGGGTACAAAGACAGTGATAAAAATTTTTTTTTTTTTTTTAACTGAAATGTGCTACTAGCCCAAGGGCTATTTGTGAACATTAGGAGATTGTGTTTTCCTCAATAAGAGTTAGAAAGTAGAAACTGAAATTAAGATTTTGCAGGAACTGCTACTTCTCTACTTCAACAAGGGGACAGTGACAGAAGACTACCACTGCCATTTTTGCCTTCTTGTATATACTTCTGCTAGCACAGTAATCTGTAGAACTCATCATCTCCACATGTCAGCTACTTTCAGTTCACATATGAAAGAAGCAAAAGACAGAAGTTCCACCTCTTGTATCTGAATAATCTGCCGACAGCTGGGGGATGAGGAGGCAGAATCTTCATTCATAATATTGAAGTTTATCTTCATATTTAAGTGATTTTTTTCTGCAACAACTATGCACATAGAGGAAAATGGTTTCAGCAGCCACACAATAAAACATTTGTTCCTAAATTAAGAACATGTATGTTGTCACTTCAGGGAGACCTAAATGCGCAACAACAGGCACTTTACAAATGCTTAAGATGCAGAAAGGTAGATAAACATCATTTAATGTACACACTTAACTCAATGCTTTCAACATTTGGGCTCATGTTACCATTATTAAAAGAGTTCATTAAACCTACTTTTTAACCAACTAATGAGGGACTGCACCAGGAACAGAAGTGTGCTACAAACCCTGATATTCTCTTGTTGATGTTGTATTGTTCACATATGTCTGATGCTAACACGGTGAGTTGAGGCCCAACAATGCTGTCCAGTTTACGGCAAAACTCCAGCGTAGGCGGAATTGAAGCTGGGTGGCAGGTAAAGAAAAGGGAGAGATGAGATTCTCCTCCCACAGTTGAAGGCACAGTTTCTGTAATTGTTGTCTTTAAACATTAGTGAGAGTCCTGGGACAAATTTCTCTCTTAATGATAACCTTACAGATGATTTTGAAAGTGCACGGCTAACAAGCAATATTTAGTCATTTTATTGTGTAAATTGAGCTACATATACTGCTAGAACAAAAAAAAAACAAAAACAAAAAACCCCAACAAAAAACCAGACTGATAAAAGAACTCATGAAGAACTCAAATAACAAATTCATGTATCCTTCAAGAGTAAAACAAGTTGCATATAATAGCACTTTGTACTAATCATGTCTTGCCAAATAAGTGATGCTAGTAGGTACTTACCATCAATCATAAAGCAGACAGCTGCACTCATGGCCTGGAACAAAAAAGTTAAAGCAAAAAAACCATTTACAACAGGTTACCTCAACTACCTCAAATAAATGACAGTACTTCAGTGAGGTCACACACAGGTAAACCAGTTAAAAAAATAATCTAGTTTAAAGGTAACACTTCAATAGGATAATCTCTTTGCAATCCTGCATGACACAGGATAGTTTTGATTTTAAAATTCAGCCCAGTTAAATTATAGGGCAAAGGTAAAATTTGCTAAAACATACTTTATGCAAAGATATATATCTGCAAGAAACTCGCATTTAATTTTAAAAAAATTAGGGTTTTGTTTTATTGATTAACACTACATAAAGCCAGGTATGAAACCACTGAAATTAACTGAGGGCTGGTATTTTGTTTTATTAAAACAACTGTTTGTTTTGGGGAGGGCACAAGAGGGCTAAAAAGAGAATTCAGGCTTTAAAGCTTGTTGCTAGAAATACCAAAGTGTTTTCTGTCTCTTTGCTTTAACCTGGTCATATAAATGCATCTTTCTATACAATTCATACGTATTCATATCATTGTTGTCTTCATTGTACACAGATCTGGAGTAATTGCAGAGAAAAATGTAATACCTTATAAACAATTAAATGAAGCTCTTCATAAGTGTCATCAGTGTTAACAAATATTTTGGGGAAACGGCATTTTGCTTCTGGATCATTAAGATTTAAAGGTCCAGTAAGAAACCTAGAAAAGAATTCAATAGGTCAGATGCGATGAATTCTTATATTTCAGTTTTTCCTATTTAACGGATGTTTTTGTAACTAGCAATTACTTGCATGTATGAATACATTTGAACACAATGAGTTTTCAGCTATCCAGATAGGCATAGAGCCCTTTATGTATTATCTCAGCACTCTTACATTTTCAAAGCATTATTTGTATGTATGCTCCAAAGAGTGAGAGAAACAGGATCAGAAAGCCAGTATAATGCCAAGGAAATAAACTGTGCAGATCATCAAAGAAACAACAACAAAACTCCACATTCAAGTTGTGACTATCTTTAAAAACTTTTCTTGTTGCTACTGGGAAAGCACATGTCCTTTGCTTTCCAACAGTACATTCAAATTAGTTTCATGTACAACAGTGGTGTATTAAAAGCACCTAAACTTGAGGGGGTTGTGGGAGGTGTGCCAGTGCCTTGATCCCAAAAGAATACAATAAGTCATGCTAGAGGAATTACCATGATTATAAAAGAGAGATGGCCAAACCCACAATTACTCAAAATAATGTTACCTAGCTGTTTAAGTACAGAATTCCTCACTCTGACATGCAGAGTACAGAGGAGAAACAAATAGATAAATCCCTAGATTAAATTTTCACCTTTGCCTGAAGTGCCTGGCTGAAAAGAAAGGACCAGAGCACTTCCAAAATTTTTGTGTGGTGCATTAAGAACAGCAGGGAAGAAAAATAAGTATGCAGTAATATTGATGAAGCCTTTTCTCTTTTTTTTTTCCAGAGGTGAAGTTTTACATTGCACCAACTATCGTGTGACCCTCTGGACTGAACTGTGTGGGGCATATGTACTCAAAATGCATGTATTCCTCACAAACATTTTGCCCTTGAGGGAAGAAGCCGTAGATGGTGACAGTAAACAAGAGCTACCTTCCATAGTGTTGTAGATTTCCTGGCATTTCAGCACGTATTGGAGAATCTCTTCCCGCTAACTGAAGCAAAAAAAGAACAGATACAAGAAAAAAAAAAAACCCAAAAACTTAGAGGTATTTTCTGTTACTTTTTGCGGACTGTCTTGAAATCAAATCAAAGCAAACCATTTGTAGAAATTACCACTCATGAAGATATATACTCTCTGTCTAACATGAAGGAGATAAAGCTGAAGTGTAAGAGATTCTGCTAGAATAGGTCATTCTGATTTTGCATTTATTAATTTTAAAATTTAGCTTGTGCAGTTTTCTGATGGGGGAGGGATAACTAACTCCATGCTGCACTTAGCCATTCAGCTGACGTGATTCATTTGAAGTACTGAGCAGTCATCAGGTATCAACATTCAGTAAACTCCCTAGCACCATCCCATATTCAAATTGCCATTCTAAGCATCACACGCAAATACTACTGAGTTTAATAAAGTGGCCCAAAAGCAATAAATCTCAGAATTCCTGAACTAAAATTTAAGAGGGGAGGGGAAGAGAGATATCCCTCTTTGGTATGTCAGCCCTTCATGATACAAGATAAACTGAAAGAAAAGAAGAAAAAAACACATCCAAACACAAAAACCAAAACCAACAACAAGCTCCTCCACACAACCCCAAAACCCCCCAACCACCATACCTCAGGCTCCATGTGCCTTGGAAACAGAGATGTCGTGAGGTATTTATACAAAATTCTCATGTCATCTTGTTCCAGTCCACTCCTAGAACATCAGGGAGAAAAAGAAAAGTGATGTTTTTGATGCTGTTCAGATCACCTGTTTTCCTCTAACCAAAACTCAGGCAAAGCACATACCAAACTAGTGTAGCAACATTTCAGTGTCTCAATAGATTAAATCCCAGAACATTCATTTTTAATAAAATGTTAATTTATTTGCTAAATACAAAATACATCTAAGTTAGCTGTAAACCAGAAAAGAAAGAAATTATATTTAAACAAACAAAGATCGAGTCTGCTATTCTCAAGTCCATTTTTAAGTCGAACTCTTCACAAGCATTGCACTTTCTGATTCAATCCTTTGACCAACCTTTTCTACTAAAAGGTCCTATGGAGGAACTTGTGTATACGCACAGAGGCTCTGTGCGATGGAAATGACCGGGACACTTCTTTAGCTGCTCCTCAGGCTAACTTGGAAGTAATCATTTGGTACATGTTAGAGATTTTAAAGCCAAAGACCAATGCCGTTCTTTGCTCATCCTACCATTCAGTTTTCTCATTTTCATACAATTCTCACCAACTGTGAAGCTTTGCTATTATGGCACTTATTTATAGGATGAGAAATTGAAGACACACAAAAGAATTAAGTACCTACCAGATAAGCTGGTCGTTGTAGAGAAATGCAGTATACTTGACTATGTTCAGACTTTCTTCCATCCTATTAATAAATGACTGAATTTTCAAGTAAGTCATTTTATCCAGTGGAAAGAAGCTGATTCCACAAAACACATCCAGCAGATCACAAGACTGTAAATGCAGTGTCTGGAGGTACTAAGAGAATAATGACAGGGTTTTTTTTAGAATTCAGAAAACTTCCGATGCATAGATTTAAATTTGAACCTAATCCCCAGTAAATTACACCAATGAGCCAAGAAAAGCCCCTTCCAGTTCTGCTTGTATGACATACTCGTTCATGTAGGGACAGACTTTGTAGTAGGGCCTGTAGTGATAGGAGAAAGGGTAATGGTTTTAAATTAAAAGAGAGTAGATTCAGACGAGATCTAAGGAAGAAATGAGGGTGGTGAAATGTTGTCACAGGTTACCCAGAGAGGTGGTAGATGCCCCATCCCTGGAAACATTCAAGGACAAGTTGGATGGGGCTCTGAGCAACCTGATCAAGTTGAAGATGTCCCTGCCCATGGCAGGGGGGGTTGGACTAGATGACCTTTAAAGGTCCCTTTCAACCCAAACTACTCTATGATTCTATGTGTGAATATGATTCCACATGTCAGCTCACTATTATTTAATCATAGTGACAACAGCTGTTAAGGCTAGATCAAGATCTCTTGAGAGGATAAGAAAGCACAGTTCTAAAATCAAATATTAGTAGGATAGGCTAACTGCATAGAAATACTAGAAGATAAATCCATTACTTTTCAATGTGCAAAGGAAAAGATAATTTCCATTATTCTCTCTCTTGATAGACTGTAACCTTTACCAAGAGATTTCAAATGCAGTATCAAATGCTCTGCTCTGTGAAAGATGTTATCCAATGGCTCCCTCTACAGTCATTTCACATACCAAAAAAACCCCAAGAAGTAAAATACTTACAAATAGTATGACAGATCTCTGTCACAGTTTATAATCTAAGCCTCCTTTCCTCCCAGAGTTTCAGTGCAGTCTAGGCCTGCCAGCAACATGTAGCCAATTCGTTCAATAGGGTTATGAACAGAACAACTTGCATGACCAAACTTCTTAAGCATTTCTAATTCCCCAGCGAAAGAGACAAATAAGTTTTCCTTGGGTTCCCTTCTGTTATACAAATCTATAGCAATTACTGTTTTATCTTCAGTAGGAACTTCAAAGAAAAACAATGTTTTAAAGATAAAAATCTATTACTTCCCTTTTTGCCACACTCTTTTTAAGTTAGTCTAGAAGCTGGAAGTATACGCCAGCTAATCAAACAAGTACTCTATGTGCCAACAGTGTTCATTCTAGTCTAGGAGTCTTACAAAAACCAAGCGAAACAACCCCAAAAACCCATAAGCGAAAGCTGTCCTAAAAATCACTGTACTTTTTTTTTTTTTTTTACACTGTCACAACATTGTGTTATTTTAAAAAAATCTGTTAAGAGAACAAAATTTTAAACACCAGTATACAGCGTCTGCGCTCCATCATTATCAGAGATATCAGTAGTTACATCTCTACCACAAGAGAATTAACTGCTGACAGCTGCCCTCTGTTTCCTTCCATGCAAACTAGAAAAAACGAGGGTGGCCAAGACTTTTAAAGCTAGCTTGACGAAATGTTTCATGTAGGAACTCAAAATTCTGCCAGACATGACTATTCAGGCAGTTACTTTATGTGAAAAATACCCAAATAATATTTGATGGATTTCTTGCTCAGAAATAGGTTTTGCTTTCCATCCTTTCACTAAAACATTTGCTTTTAAACACTGAAAATTAAATTCTGAAGACTAGTTATAACCAAGGCAGTATTTCCTGAAACCTTACCAGGCATGACTACTAATGGCACAAGGGGAGCAGGGTGGGGGGAGAAGTTAAAAATTACAACTATGCATTACTTCACAGTACTATGGGACTTTTAAGTCTGTGCATGCAGGCTGTAGAATCTCCCATCCCCAGCTATTTTCAAGACTCAACCAGCCAAAGCCCTCTGTGGTCTAGCGGTCTAGCCTGAATTCAGTATTACCCTACTTTGAGTAGAAGGCTGAACTAGATGACCTCTCTGGATTCCTTTCAACCTGAATGATTCTGCAACAGTTACTCAAATAGATCTGCACAGACTGTTATCACACTAACCAATTCAAATGTTAAAGCAGAATTTCCAAAGAATGAACGTGATTCCATCAGAAAAAATATCCAACAGCTAAGCTGTTCCATCAAGCAATAACCCTGCCTGCAGTTCAACTCCATTTAAAAAAACCTACCACATTAGCTGGAAGAAGGAAGTATTTGAAAAAATTAATAACCAGAATTTTTGTGTTGCCACACACCTTTTCCACTGCCTATGTTTTATAGTTACACTGCAGCCCCTTAAGAAGAGATTTTTGCATTTTATTTCCAACACAGAATCACGCTGTATGTGCCTGAAAAATAAGGTCTTACCCGATGGAAGAATTTCTCTAGTCTCTCCTTGAGAACTTTTACACCTCCATCTTCCATGGCTTTCAGGAATGTGCCATTAAAAAGCTAACAGTTAAAAAGAAAAAAAATCAGTCAGTTGGGTAATCATTTACAGTAATTTCTTATAATTCAGCCACGAATATAGCTAGATTAAAATACAGCTCCTGTTTCTCAGTGTTTGGACTCCACATAGATCCAAATGTCCCCCTTCTTTATTGAAAAAAACCTCTTGCAGAGTCCAGGTATATATAGCAGCAGAGGGAGAATTAGATAGAAAAGGAAACTAAATTCTTTAATGGTAGAGAAATTATTTATCTGTTTCACTTAAGTATCTTATGCTCTTGCTTTGTAAAAGCCAGATGGATGGCCTTTATCCAGCATTGTTTCTTCAACAGATAGTATCTAACACCATCAAAATCAAACGCTTAGTAGTTTAACTGCCCATGAAAGAAGAAATTGGGACTTGACAGAAATTAAAAGGCACTTATTGTTACAATAAGCTAATGAAGCAGCACAGCTAACTGCAAAAGCTGTATTTTTCATCACCACCATTACAGCTTCAGAAAGAGAACAGACAATAGTAATGAGACAAGAATGTCAAAGCAATGATGAGCTTGGACATCCAGATGGTGCCATGAGGATCCCCTCCTCTGCCCAGAAGAGGAGCCTCTAGTATTGACTCTACCTTGTACATGCTGTAGCACTGCTGTAGGACTGAACTATAAACCTTGTCCTGCAGAAAAGAGAGCAGGACATTAGTATAAACAGAAGCAGAATTTCAAGTATTTTGGCTAAGCTACGCATAACATGTTTTCAAAGAGCCAGCAAAAAAAAAGGAAGAGTTCAGTATTACCAATAATTCTTCTTCCTGATATTCATAGACTGGCTTTCCATCCTTGTGTTTCTCTATTATGGGATTCCGCACAACCTAGAAAGTGGAACAGGCTGGTATTAGACAATGCAGAATGCATTGAGAACATTGCGATATGATGTTTTAGAAATATGCATATCACATGCATAAGTACCATGACCATCCAGAAACTTTCTTCAGGTTCATGGAAAAATTGTCTATTCTTCTGCGTATGTAGGGATTTTGCAGGTTTTGTTGGACTAAAGGTCCTGGAAAGAAAACATATGTAGACATAGATATTTATACACACTCAGAAAAAGAAAACATATGACCAGGGAATTTAAAATAGAGTGCTTGGGCTAATACAATGAGTCACGCAATCAGACTTCATACCTTGTGAATTGTACTATAGCTTCACATAGTCCCACGTTTCTAATTTTTTCATTCTTTTCTACTTCATTTGGGTGATAGAAGAGAATCTTCTTTTCTTCCTAAAATTTGAAAAAAAGAATAAAAGCAGATGCATTTTAACGGAAACAGAGTCAAAGAACACTAAGTTGATGGTTTGCTTGTTTTTTAACTTCAATCTCTTGATTTCCTAGGCAGAATTTTTCTTGTACCTAAAGGGGCTTCTGTAAAATGGATAAAAGGCATATTTAAGAACACTTAAACAGTCAGACATCCTGCCAGTCATCTCAAAATGTTTTATAAATTCCAAGGCTGTTGAAATCATAGGCCCTAGTCACTTCATGGCTAGTTCAAAGCAAGGCTAGCTTCAAAGCAAGATCAAAGCATGGCTAACTTCAAAGCTAGCTCAGATTGCTCAAGGTCTTGTCCAGTCAAGGTCTGAATACCTCCAAAGATGGAGATTCCACAACCTTTCTGGGCCCCGATCTGCTGTTTGACCACTTCACTGTGAAGAATTTTTTCTTTATCTCATCAGAATTTCCCTTCCTGGTACTTCTTCTATTACCCCTCAACCTTTCAGTTCAACAAGAACCTGATTCCATCCTCTATAGCCACCCTTTAGGCAGGTGAAGACAGCCATCAGACCCCCTTCCACATTGGCTCTTCTTCAGGCTGCACAAATCCAGTTATCTAAGGCTCTCCTGATACGTCACGGACTGTGGCCCCCCGATTGATTCACGGGCCCTCCGCTGGGCTTGCTTCACTTTGTCGGTATTTTTCCTACACTGGGAAACCACTCTGGAAGCCCCAGATGAACAGAGGGCCCACCAGCAGCTCCACACATGCCGAACAGAGCGGGAAGCAATCACATCACTTGACCTCCTCATGCATGCTCGCTCACACAGCCTGGTACACTGTTAGTTTTCACCACCACAAGGGCACACTGCTGATTCACATATGGCCTGTTGTTCACTAGGACGCTCTGATCCTATTTTGCAAAGCTGCTTTCTAACCAGTCAGCCCCTGGCCTGTCATGGTGCGTGAGATTATTTCATCCCACACGCACGCACCTCTGCGTTTGCCTTCGTTGAGCTCCACGAGGTTTCTGCTAGCCCATTTCCCCAGCTCGCCGAGGGTCCCTGTGAATAGCAGCCCTGCCCTGCAGCATATCCACAGCTTCCCCCAGCTTGGAGTCACCCAAGGACTTGCCCAGGGGTGCGCTCAGTCTCATCACCCTGGTCATTAATAAGTATGTAAGTACACTGCCCTGTCCAAAAACTATCAAAACTAAAGATTATCGCATATGCTGGTATCTAAAAGTAGAGACTATAGCTTCTTGAATTTACTTATTAAAGATAACAATAGCAAGAAAATACTAGCAATAACTTGAATTTAACTGAGTCAAACACTAAGCTTTCTCCTGTGTTGCGTCTACCTGGGGAAAACTATTTTTAGAAAGAGTTACTGCATCCGTAAAAGGCAGTTACTAACAGACCAGGCCCTCATCTACGCTATTTTACAGACTACTGTTGGAAACACCCCCGGTTGCTGTTCTTTCTTAATCTGAAGCAGAGACAGATCCAGAGGTACGCGGCACCGGCCCCTGGCCCCGCCGAAGCCGGCCGGTACACAGGCTCCGGGCGCTGGCAGGGCGGCGGGCCGGGGAGGG